TTTCACGATGAACTCCATATTTAACCGAATCGGGCACCCGTCGCGCACGCGCGACACACAGACACATACATACACCGACCACACACTGCACCACGGGACGAACTCGTTTCTCTACCGTAATCCGCGCGCCCCGCGCACCGATGTGGACGACCAAACAAAAATCGCTTAACGACCATATCGATTCGTCAAACGAGAGTGTACGAACACAATAATGCTGTTTCACAGAGCGCTATAGTTCTCTATTGCAGTTGGTGCCATTTGGTACTATATTGAAACATGAGGCAGAAAAAATTAGTGCACAGTAGTAAAAGCAGAATGATAGCAGACAAGACAAAATTGGTGTAGTCAATCTCCATAATAAAAAAGTACTTCTTCCTTCTTGAAGAAAGCCTAAGCAGCATTTCACATACTACAATTATTGGACCTAGAAAATATAAGAACTAAAAAATATGTTTTATTTGATCAGCGGATATCATATGCGCTTGGAAATAGTATGTGATGAGGCCTTCGGCTACCGAGGGACAGACAAAGCACCTAACCTCCATGCCTGAGACACTCATGAAAAAGCCGCTTAATTTGGCAGTGCGGAATTCTAAAGCAACAAGTTCACATTCAAAAACTAGAACTTCAACCTGGCATATGGCAGAATAAATAGTAATTTTACAATACAGTCACTATTTGCAAATCTTCATGGCTTTTAATAAATCTTTTCCAGGTCTGGTTCAAGAATCGCCGCGCTAAGGCCCGGCAGCAGAAGAAATCGCAACAGAACAGCTCCGGCGGTAGCAGCGGTTCATCTTCGACTGAAGGAAACAACTCCACTGCTGATGCTGATGTGAATGTCAGATATATAAGCAATTAGATGTTGATAGTTATAATTTGCAATCAGCTTATTACTTACGTTTTTCAGATTAAGTCTGAAGAACCAAGCGAGACAACATTGAGCGAACATTCGCAAAGCCCTTGTCCTGAGGATAAAACGCCTTCAAGCACTAACTATTTGAGTACAGCTGCATCGCCAAATAACTACGCCGCCACGTCATTTCGACCGCAAGCACAATATAGCTATGGTAAGTTTTAGAATGAATTTATCTTTATTTTTACCTACAAAGGCGGAAGCTCACTCATGATTGGTCGAATTGCCTGTGGGCGTGGCTAACCAATCACAATATCATTTTTATAGATTTAGCTGCTATTGAATTTAATTGCACACATCTCTCTTTTATCTACGTTCACTCTGACTAAAGGCAACAAATTGTTGCTTGCGTTTAGCCCCGGTAGCTCAAAAACTTTTTGCAGCACTTCATCTTTAGAACAAATATTACTAGAATAGGCAAAAAATGTTAACTGAAATTGACAAACCAAGTCAGGAATTTCGTTTTTTCATATCGTCAAATAACGCAATTTTGAGGCTTTGGTGCTACAGTACGCAAGAGGAAATGCAAATTCTCAAAATTTGATCACGAGTTCATCACCGATTCACTCAATTTTCAGCAAGCTATCAAAGTCCTATGGATTATTTCCAATACACACAACCGTCCGCAGCTACAACGGCTACAAATCCATACGGGATGGAGTCATGGAAGTTTCAACCAATGGGCTAAATTTTTCGGATGATACAAAATAATTTACTATGTGTAAGCAATGAGTAAATGAGCATAGACACATGCACGCGCGCGTGTTCGCGTCGCATCGCACACGCACGCGTGCTTCTCGTGTTGTGACAACTTTGTTTGGGTGCCTGCGTCTCCGTTACGTATGTCACCTCTCTCGGCTCTTCTTCCTCCCTCACGCATCCTATTCACGCACAATCATACAAATCATTTTCAATTGTCATTCTTGTCAGTGTAAGGACTACCGTGAAAAATTTTATTGACTTTTCGATATAGTTTTTT